TGTTAAATTTTGCTATTCTTACTGGGGTGAGATGATACCTCATAGTTGTTTTGATTTGCATCTCTCTTAGAGCTAGGGATTTTGAATATTTCTTCATGTGCTTGTTGGCCATTTGAATGTCTTCTTTGGTGAAGTGTCTGTTCATATCCTGTGCCCATTTTTCAATCGGGTTATTTACTTTTATCTTGTTGTGCTAAGGAGCATTTTTACTGTACTTCTTCCAAGACAGTTGTTCTAGGAGTCTATGAGTACATGAACTATTCATACCTGTCACTATCATTCAAAGGCATCAGTTCTTCCACCAAATGCATCTTTCACAGTTTGCAATCAGAGCGAGCCTTCTAAAATGCAAAGTGGTTCAATAATTAACATGCTGTAAACTCTCCAGAATTACCTATTGTTCTATCTATCTATCTATCTATCTATCTATCTATCTATCTATCTATCTATCTATCTATCTATCTATCTTATTTTACGTGTACCGTCAAATCAGATCTGACCGGTACAGGAGGAGATTGCTCCTCTTTCTCCGGCAGAGCATCTGGTGGATTTGAACCGCATACCTCTGGGATTGCAGTGCAGTGTCTTGCCACTAGGCCACCAGAGCTCCCTACTGTTCATGATCTTTTTTTTTCTTTCTTTATTTTCTTCTCCCTGCCTCTTTTTAAACAGTCCCTCCGTAAGGACTATCCACTTAGCTTTGTATCCAAAGATGAAATTTGTAGGTGAAAGGAGTTAGGAGTTAGCCTTCGTTACAGACTGGTTCATTTCAGGGTCGAAAATATGGAACGCTTCACGAATTTGCGTGTCATCCTTGCGCAGGGGCCATGCTAATCTTCTCTGTATCGTTCCAATTTTAGTATATGTGCTGCCGAAGCATGCACCTGTTCATGATCTTAAGCAGCTGACCAGGCCTGACAAAATCAGGCCTCTATCCACTTACCCAAATTGATATCTTGCTCTTTTTAATATATTTTACTGTTATTTGAATATAAGATTATATAAGAGCAAGTTGGTTTTCCCTCCAGTAATTTGTATACATGTTTCTGGACATTATAAAATAAATGTTAGAATCACAGTCTAACAGCACTCTTGCCACTCCTCTGTTTTTCCCATTATCATTCAATTTTTCCTAATCTTTCTGTTTTCTAAGCTTTATATCTAGACAAATATATGGTTGGTTGATCCAAGGAATATGTCCTTTCTGGTGTTACTGATCACCTTATAAGTTTGCCTGTTGTTTGATTGGCATTTGACTCACGGATTTTTTTTTTTTCATTCCAGACTTGAAGGGTGACTAAGGACCATGCTCTTGGGAGTGGGACTTACACAGTCTCTATTAAGTCAAAAAGTCTTTTGAGTTAGTTCCACATTTTTCTCCCTCAGGAACCTTCTATTGTGATCCCTTTCAGAGCAGTCAGTGGTGGCTGCAGAGCAACCATCTAATTCTTCAGCTATCAAAGTCAGGGAGATTTAAGGTCATGTGATCTTTAAGGTCCATAGTAGTCTTTGATTCTCTTCACTCTTCTTTGCCCCTGCTGGGAGAGATCAGAAGTTGCCTATTAGAGGCTGTCTACGAGATTTTGAAACCCCAGTTCTGCTCACCAAGGTAGGATGGGATACTGTCTTTGTAGACAGTGTTGTCAGTTGACACTGATGTCCCTCAAGTCATTGGTCCCACATTCATTTCTTATGTATAGGAAGAGCTCGATGCCCTGCCATACTGACCTCTAGTTCTTTAGACTCCCTCTTTTTTTATTTTCCCCATAGTATTTTATAACCTTTTCCTTACATCTTATACCTCATCTTCTTCAGACCTCACTAGCTAACTGCAGCACTCCTTTTTCAGAGAACTGACATGTCCAGTTCCTGGTGAAGTCTCTCAAATGGTCTAAACTTGGGTAGCCAGGTCTACCTGTGTTCTGTGACAGCACTCTGTGATTTTTCATATTGGTACTTGTGCTCCTTTATGGCAGTTCTAAGATAAAGAAACATTGTTCTTTGACTGCCTTTCCCAACTCTGCTGTGAAATCTGAGGTGACAGGACCAATTCTATCTTGGTCAACACTGTATTCCCAGATTCTGACCAGAGTATATTTGATAGGCAAAAATGTTAAAAGTATCTTTGTTGCATTTATGATTTTTGTAATAAATATGAGGTCTTTAAATTTTTCAACAGGCAGACAAGTTGTTAAAAACTTTGAAAGCTCATCTTCAACAAGAAGCAAGAAAAGAAAATGAGAATGAGGTAAGTAATACTTTTATTACCTGTTAGGTAACAATAATCATAATTAAGTGATAAACATGAATCGTGAATGACTTAAGACATGCTGTTTATCAAAGAAATTATTTTTAGTAATTGTGCTAGGGTGTCCCTTTTGAATGGCAAAGCTGTCTTCTGTCAAATAATCTATTAAAAGATAACTGTCAGATTTTATTATAAGATAATATGGATAGTAAAGGAAATAGATTTGAAGTAAAAAAAATTCAGATTAAGTACTAGCCCTGTTATTTTTTGAACCTGTATTACCTTTGAAACTAAAACTTCTTAGTTCTTCATTTTTTTCTCTTCTTTAAAAATGTAAAAAAGTAGGAAGCTCTGGTAGCCTGGTGGCAAGAAGCTGCACTGCAGTCCCAGAGGTATGAGGTTCGAATCCACCAGATGCTCTGCTGGAAAAGGAGGGACATTCTCCTCCTGTACCAGTCAGATCTGATTTGACGGTACACACATAATAAATAATAAAATTTAAAAAGAAAGATGTAAAAGAGTCAGCTCTGATGACTTCGTCAAATTGAATGAAATGGATCGGATTGTGTGTTAAGGGTGCCTCCAGGTTTTTTTCCTCAGTTAATTTTAATTCCTTTTGGAGAATTGATACATCAATTGCATTATTATTGTTGTTGCTGTTGTTGTTATCATCATCATCATTCATCCCTGATTAAAACAAGCTTGGAAGCAGGAGTGGCATCCACTTCTGAAATAGCTTCTCTCTGGAAACCCTATGAAACTGGAGAAAAGACTAAAGTTATACAAGTGTCCAGGTCTTTCATTCATAGAGTTGCAATAAGTTGCCTACAACTCGATGGCACTTAACAACAACAACATCTTTGTTATGATATATTTATAATTCACTGTTTTTATGTGTGTAATCTAGTGACATCAATCATATTTATCATAGTGGGCAGATATCACCAATAACTGCTGCCAGGTTTTTGTTCATTGTTCCCTTAATAATGACTTTCCTTCCCCTCTCTCTGCCACTCTTAATAACCACTAATGGAGCTGTGGTTTCTATGTCGTTGCCTAGTCTAGCTCTTTCGTATCAGTGAGCTCATGTAATATTTTATCCTTTTTATCTGAATTTCTTCTTTTTTATTAATTTAAATGAAAGTTTACAGAGACTTAGGGTTTTCTTTTTTTTTTTTCTA